ACATATTTATCCCTGTTCATGACTTTATCTTGGAGGCCATGTGTTTGTCAAGTCAGGTTAGACTAACGCTTAGTCTTTGAATGTATGTAATTATGTTAGATCCTAATTGCATTTAAATTGAAAAGGAGCCACAATGAGATGTGAGATTCCTGAACCTGAAGAAAACTAGACTTGCTGCATTTCGGGTAGACTAACACTTAGTCTCTGAATGTATATAAGTTTGATCAGAGACCATATACCATGGTCTCTGGTTTGATGGTTGCAAATTAGTCTGTGTCACAGTCCCTGAACCACATTAATTTCCCTACTGCCAAGCCCTCTCTGCAGTGCTAAAGCCCTAAATAAAGCAAGTCTAGATTTCCTCAGGTTCTGAATCTCTGATCTCCCCAGGGCTCCTTTTCAATATAAATGGGCTTGTTTGTTACTATCAAAATTATATATATTCAGAGACTAAGCCTTAGTCTAGTTGCAAATATACCCATTCAAATTGAAAAGGAACCTGAGGAATCAAAACTTGATTCATTTGGGGCTTAAGCGTTGCAAGGAGGGTTAGGTAGTAGGAAAAATAATGTGGTTCAGGGACTGCGAGGCAGAATCCATATCGGGCATTGCAGAAAGGGCAGGACGGAAGGGAAAATAACTTGGTTCAGGGGACAGACTAGATCCAGGTCTACTGAATGTGTCCAGAGCTGTAATGACGTGCCCTGGATGAACTTGTGATGTAAACCCAAGCGCCCACATAACACAATTAGCAGGAGAGACAGCTGGCATTGTTCACTCCCTGATAACTGCAGTGTTGTCTTTCTGCAGATAACTGCCCTTGGGGCTATGAGAGCAGGTCAGTGTAGAGGTGTGGGTGAAACAGACCTGCTGGCCACGGATTCCAGGCATGCCAGGTCTCATGTAATTGACGTGGACAGAACTAGATTACCTGATTCTGTAATCTTTTGAAACCTTCTAGAAATATATCTCTTCTTTGAAGAATTACAGTTTTGTTCTAAAACGTTAAGAATTTGTCTCAATGTTAGACTTGGCATATTGGAACTCACTCACTCACTCACTCACATATGCAAGAGAACTTACTGTAGAAATACAAGAGAAATTAGTATATAAATATACTTTCACTTAATGCAAGAAAATGTGTACAAGAATTCCTTCAGAGAGACACTGTCGACACCACTCACTCACTTGACAGATTTCACATTCCAAACTTGTGGAACATTGCTATACTGTTATTGTTTAAACTATTTGCTGAACAGACACTAAATTTGCACAATAGGCGATTGTTTGAAGTTATTTAAAAATACAGATATATGACATGGCTTAACTTTCAGAATTTCTGATGCTGCTTCACAGTTTTTGTAATAAAACTTACTTCATTAATCTTCAACAGAGAACAAAAGTTAATATTTTGTATGGGACATGGGTTAGCTAGCAGGTGGGGAGTTTCCTGTAGAAGAATACAAGTTTCAAAAACCATTACATTACAGGTCTCAAACGCTTATATCCCTTGTAGTGTTGGGAATTGGTTAAAATCTCATAATTGATGATTGGTTCATTAGTACCGATCAATCATCGAAAATAATTGGTTAGCATCATTTATGAAATTTGTTAATGCACATAAAAATAAGTTAAAAAACAAGTAGTTCTTTTGGGGTTTTTTGGCAAAATTTCACATCTTTAAAGGATGACTAGTATGCTAGGAACATAAATTTCTTGGAATCTTTAAGATAAATTCAATCATGACTTGAAACGAGCTTGTAGTGCTTACGAAATGTTACAGACAAAACCAACCATGTGAAAAATATTGTTAATGAAAACAAGTGGTCCAGAATTGTTTGTGTTTGATTATGATAAATTGTGATCGATTGCTTGGTCGTTTAGTCACTATGACCAATCTTCGATTATTTCAAATAATCGGACCACCACTAATCCCTTGGGGCACCACTAAATATTTCAGAAAATAAATATATTTCTATCCTTGGAGCATGCATGATGTTCACAGAAAATGACTAGCCATGAATGGAGATTGCTAATAAAATGATAATTCATTTACATAGACGCACTGAAAGAAATTTCATCTTAACATATACCGAGTTTATGAATATATGTACATTAACAAAAGGTTGCTTGTCTTGAGTTTCCTTTGAAGAAACATTAAGGTTTATAAAATGACATGAGCTATTGTTCCTGCATTTTACTATGTAACAATTGTGCTGTTTATTGAGGTTGCTGAATTGTGACACACAATTGAAAGACGTGTACTATGAATAGAAATACTGGATATGAGACAAAGTTGAATATATTTATACATGTAAGAAAGTAATTTCATCATTCATGTTGGATGTGATTTATCACCAAGAAACATTTCTTGATCAGCCTTGACATGCTACTTGCTATACAACTAGTGAACTATTAGCCTCATTCTCACATTTCATGATGGTAGTAATACTTGGGTTACGACTACACTTGTATGTGAATCCTATTATGACTTCAAGGACATTTTTTGTATTGTTTTCTTGATCAGTTGTGTCCTGCATTGGTGTAATGTAATACAACATCATAGAGTGTTTGGTTGTACTCACCTTACAACATATTTGCATGTACTTGTTGATGAATGCAAATTAATTGTACCTCCGGTGTGGAGCTGTCTTATCAGAAATATAGTTAAAAGAAATGCTAACAATATAGTTAAGAGTTTCATTTTTTATTTTGCTTCACAATGCTTTATTTTTATTAATATGGCTTTGGAAGGTTTTCTGTGCTTAAGATGCTCTGAGAGTTAGTGAGGTAGCCTAGTGGTTGAAGCGTTTGCTCGTCATGCTGAAGAACCTGGTTCGATTCCCCACATGGGTACAATGTGTGAAGCCTATTTCTGGTGTCCCCCTGCCGTGATATTGCTGGAATATTGCTAAAAGCGGAGCAAAACCATACTTACTCACTAAGATCCGATGATTTTGCCACATACCAGGGGCAGAATTTACTGGGATTTTATTATGACAAGCCTACCCTCAATTTTGAGGCTGAACATACCTTGAAAGCATTTAATGCATTTGTTACAAAAATACTGTTTCTCCCCACTTAATCTACATGAAGCCTGGTTTCCAGTGCACACTAATCTCAGACTGATGCTGGTAGATGATAAGTAGGAACATTTATGCATCTGACAAGAGGCTGCTTTTACTAGTCAGGAGTGAGTGAGTTTAGTTTTACGGCCGCACTCAGCAATATTCCAGCTATATGGCTGGGGTCTGTAAATAATCGAGCCTGGACCAGACAATCCAATAATCAACAGCATGAGCATTGATCTGCACAATTGGGAACCAATGACATGTGTCAACCAAGTCAGCAAGCCTGACTACCAGATCTAGTTAGTCGCCTCTTACGACAAGCATAGTCGCCTTTTGTGGCAAGCATGGGCTGCTGAAGACCTATTCTACCCCGGATCTTCACGGGTCGTACTAGTCAGGACTTCAGATAGCAGTTTTATAGTGCTACCTCTCTGGGATGCCATGCTGCAGTTAAACATGGATACCCACTGGTACTTACTGAACCAGACTGTTTCCCTTGTCGCCTTTATGCAAGGCAGAGTAACAAGAAGTACCATGTTTTAGCATGGTAAGGGGTTCAAAAATCCAATCGCCAGATGCCCGGGACAAGTCAGTTTTCATTTGGGGCAATCAAATAATGGTATCTTACTTGTCCGTGGGCTACTAGATAATTTCTACTTATGGTTTCAAACTGCAAATAAACTTGGATTTAATTTCATATCTGCTCAAAATGTAGCTATTAAATTAATCAGTGATAATAAAGTAGAGTTATCTTTCTTTGCTATTTATCTTTTTTCAATAAATAGTCCAGTAAACATTAACATCAAATAACATGTTGATTTATTCTTTCATAATTACATCATCATGATTATGTCATAAAATCAGGGCAAGTGGAAAATTAGTCAGGACAAGTTACTTTCTTAAAGTCACTTGCCCTGTGGCAAGTGGCTTTTTAAAAAAAATTTGAACCCCTGATGATTTGGTATTATGTAGGCACGGATGGAACCAGTGATGTTCAGCTCTCCAGACAGATGCCCTATCCACTAGACTGCAGACACGGTCTAGAAGCTTTGTGAGAATGAAGGCAATCTGTGAAACAAGCAATGATTACTCTGGCCTAAATGATGCAGAAATTATGATAAGGAATTGATTTTATGGCTCCTGTTAGTGCCGTCTTGTCAAACCTATTTATAATTGATGTGTATCTTTTTGGGTGTGTCTTCATATTAAGAGGTGTTTCACCAGGAAATGTTTTCACTTCCTGATGGGACCCATTCAAGCACAAATGCACTTTGATTATAGTATACCTGGTGGTGAGGAAAATATGACTCCCATAAACAGCATGTTATCCCTAAACCCGTGAAGATCCGGGTTAGAATTTATCTTCAGCAACCCATGCTTATCGTAAGAGGCGACTAACGGGTCCTCAAACATTACTAAAACTAAGTAAATATGTATTCTTAGCATTTAAACTTTACCCATCGGTACACCAATAATGTTATTATCATGCATTGTGTATTACTGTAGTACCTTGTGAAATTTATTCATCGTTTATATATTGATGTATAACAAATATGTGTACATGCCGTTAATGTACATCCTATGGGCCTGTGGCCTTTGACTTGAATGAATAAACATTACATACTAACGGGGTCGGGTGGTCAGGTTCACTGAACTGGTTGACACATGTCATCGTATCCCAATGGTGTAGAGCGATGTTCTTGAATGTTGATCGCTGGATTATCTGGTCCAGATTCCAATATTTACAGACCATCGCCATATAGCTGGAATATTGCTGAGTGTGGCGTAAAACTCAATTCACTCACTCACTCACTCCTACCTTGGAAATCTGGCCATCATCATGTAATCTCACCTGACTGAAGTTACGCGAGTTAATGCCTGATCTGTTTGTCTGGCAATAATATCTGTCACTAGACCAAGTTGAACACTATGATTCTGAAACTTCACGTGCTTGTTCCCATCAATGATGACATGTCAGTTCATTCCAGAGGTTTGAATCTGGTTTTCATGATGGTACTTGTGTATTTAGCAGTTGGGCTCAGTATACACGTTTCATTTCCTGTGATATTCTATATAATGATGACCTTGCACTTTATTCATGCTCTCTTTCATCATGAAATATTGTCAGTGTGGCGGTAGAGAATCCAGGAAATTTGCCCAGAGAATCCAGGAACTTTGCCCACAAGGAACTTTGGAAACTTTGCCCACAAGGAACTTTGCCCACAAGGAACTTTGCCCACAGGAACTTTGCCCACAAGGAATTTTACCCACAGGAACTTTCCCTCACAGGAACTTTCCCCACAAAATCTTTACCCACAGGAACTTTGGCAAAGGCCCACAAGGAACTTTCTTTTGTAGGAACTTTGCCCACAAGGAACTTTCCCCACAGGAACTTTGCCCACAAGGAACTTTCCCTCACAGGAACAGGAACTTTGCCAGGAACTTTCCCACAGTTTGGGAAAATTGTTGTGGGCAAAGTTCCTGTGGGCAAAGTTCCATACACCGACGATAGATATTTACCTCCTCATATGGTAATGTAATTTTGTTTTAATGATTATGTCTGTTAAACATGTTGTTATATTACAAAGCTTGCAGTTATAGCAGTCGATGGTAATTTGTTATCAACTCAAAGCTAAGTGCTATAATAGGTGAGCCTTTCCAAAGGCCTTTCAAACTACTTTAACTGTAAACTTGGCAAGGATACATTCATTTTATGATATGTTTGTTGTTATGTTTGTTGATGATGGATCTTCTGTGTCAGATTTAGATTTACTGTGAACATGGTGAAAATGAGTTTGCAGATATGTATTAATGGTCATCCTGTATGTAATTATGAGAAATGGACCTTTACCGGAGAACAGGGGTACCTTTCTGCAGATATATCAGACTTGATTTCATGCCAATACATTTTTGGATGAAGGCTTCTACATCTCTTATTTCACAAGCAACGGAAGCATTAATGCCTATTTTAATCTGCACAAAACGGTTTTGCGTGAAGATGTTTTGAGAATATTTGTCACCTCGGTAGAACCTGCACTTTGTAAAAGTTTGGAAATATGGGGAGTTAATAAAACATGTAAAACCTTTTATAAAATGGGGGGGGGGAGAATTTGTATTCTTTTCCCACCAAGAATACCAACGCACACGACCTTCTTACTCTGACTCCTCTCTTTAATATACTGATATTGTTCACATCAAGATACCGCTTCATATGATGTGACAGATATGTATTAATAGGCAACATGTTGTGACATGCCTATGACCAGGAAACATTTCCTTTTTAAGTCTAAGCATACTTGGCAAACCAGAGATCCATGCTTCCTGCTAGTTGTATCTGAGACAAACCAGAGATCCATGCTTCCTGCTAGTTGTATCTGAGACGGGTGGGTTTCAGGCCATGCTTGAAGAAGGGGATAAATGCACAGGCAATCTTCTTGTGACTATCACTGTCAATCTTGTATTGGTCTCTGGCTTAAGCAGATAAAGACTTCTCATCAGCCTCTCTTGACCTCTGGGAATAATGTGGAACTCTTTTGTTCCTTAATTCCTCTTAGAATCAGTAGGATCCCACAGATTGGGGAATCATGAACCATTACAATAAGGTTTACCAGCAGTGTTGTTCCTTTTCAATTTCGAAAATTTGTTAGGCCAGACCAATTTTATTTCTTGTTTTACAGATTTTTGTCCTCAGAAAACCTAAAGGCAGGAGGGAAAAAAATCAAAATCAAAAATCACCAGTCCAAGTAATATTCTTTCTAAATAGTCAAAGTATTTTACTTTTGGCAATTTATTAAGTGTATGGGTAAAAAAAACAATGTAAAAAATTTTTTTTGTAAGTTTGAGCGGGGAAAATTCAGTTTTATTTTTTTTCTTATTCTTGAAAAAATATGACAGGCGGATCCATAAAACAAGAAATATAATTGGTCTGGCCTTAAGTAGATAGAAAGTGAATATGTCGGCACTTTTGAAACATCAACTCTGTTTAGGTCTCCACAATCTCAGCTTTCATGCATATATTTCCTTTACACAGCTTCTAGCAATATTGCAGCAATATTCTAGCAATATCATCAACATTTTTTGCGAGGTTAAATTACATGTAAGGATAGAATAGTGTTCTTCTTTACTTAATTGGTTGAGAAGAAGACATACAGTCACCAGTCGCCAATGGGATTTCACTTTCTCAGTGAAGTACAGATTCTAGTACTTTTAGATTGAAACCATGCAGGATTCGAACCCACACCCTCAGAGACAGGCACCTACTTACCAGCACACAAAGTCAGCAATCTAACCCACTCAGCCACCGTAGCTTCCACTAAAATGGAAGTCGGACAACTGGTAGTCTAGATCATGTACTTTTGTTTGAATCCTGATGGAACTCAGCCTACAAACGTGCTAGAATCTGTTTAGTTACTCAGAAAGTTTAATCCAACATATGTTACATTTGACCACTTTCTAATTGGCATTATGTATACAGTATCACTATTTATGAACTTCTGTTTCTCTATTTCCAGGTGTGCTGTGCCTTGTTCTCCTGGTCAGACTAGCCACCTCTCAGGCAGAGTTTGGATATTTCAACGGCAGCTCTAGTGTAACACTCCCTAACTCCGCATGGGACTTGAGACAGTGGACACAACTCTCCTTCCGAACATGTAATGCATCAGGGGAAATAATTCGTCAAAGAAACATTCGTGGTGACTTGCTACAGGTGCTACTACATAATGGCTCGCTAGAATTCCACTGGAGAGTGAACAACACTTCTGGTTACAGCCGAGTTGGTAGTCATCTTAATAACAATAAGTGGTACATCTTCAATCTGCGCTACCACTTAGGAGCTATCGTGTTTAATGTGTCGCATGAGGAGACGTCTTTTAGCCAAATTGTGGCCAATTCTACACATTTCTCTTATTTATTGGATGTGCGGTTAAATGGCACAAATATTGAAGTTGGGAATGGTTTCAGTGGATGTTTGTTCAGTGGAATTGGAATCAGTTTTCTGGGAAGTGGTATATTGTCTTCCAATGTGAGATGGAACTATTGCCCACTGAACACTCAGACAGGCTGTACCCCAGGTAAGTCATGACACAGTTTTCTTCATATCTTGTGACAAAATATATTTGTTCCAGTGATTGTGTGCAGTGTTATGTTGAAATCATTGTCATGATACACTTAATCATGTTATGTCTCTGTTATGTTTGGACCGTCTTCATTTTCTGGCAGATAGAGCCTCTGCTCGGGAGAACTAAAGGTCAGTGGTTCAACGTGAGGCCGCATCACAACAAAACATGCTATTAAAAGTCGGTACTTGTTGTTACTCTGCCTGCAGTAATCTGGAATGAGGTGTAAAACACCATTTCTTATGCCAAAAGTTGATGAAACTCTTATATGTTCCTTGTAATTGCTCTGTCCGAAGCGCCAGTAAAATATTTATCAAGCTCAATCACCATTCTGATTGTGTCATTTGTGAGTGAGTTTAGTTTTATGCCACACTCAGCAATACTCCAGCTTTATGGGGGGCAGTCTGTAAATAATTGAGCCTGGACCAGACAATCCAGTGTATTTTGTGCACAGAACAATTACATGAATTATATACTGATCATATCATAGCTTGTGATAAGATAGGCAAATTATGGTATTCAGTGGTCAGACACCTGACTTGGTCAAGGCATGTCATTGCACTTCAGTGTTCAGGAGTTCAGTCACTTTAACCATTAAAAGAGAATCTGGAATATTGTCTCCTTCAACAATTAGAGCAAGAAACAATATCCAGTCTAATATGTGAGTTCAAGAGAGAGACTAAGGGAAATGAGCTGGTAAAAGAAGCACTCATAAAATATCGATTGTCCACTGCTTATGCAGGTTGTACTTGACAAGGATTCTTAAAGCCATTATTCATCTCTTATGTTTGCAAACAATTCCTTGGCCAATGTGTACAATACAAAATTTATTTGTATATGTCATTAAGAACCTACTTTTTGTTGTATTTCAAAAACAGTTTATTATGTAAATATATATTTTCATTACGTAAGGAATAGATTTGCATTCCAAAGGGACACAACTCATACATTACTTGGTATTTTGAAGTTCTGGTAGTTGGTAGAAGGAAAGTTCTGGCTAATACAGGTTGACAGATGGATCAACAGGAGATAGATAGCTGAAGTCAAAAAGACAGACAGACATACCAATTGACAGACAGGCAGAACAGAAAGACTGATAGTTAAAAAAACTGGCCTACTGATAGACAAATTAACAAACTGATAGACAGAAAGATCAACAGACAGATCAAGAAAGAGACGACACAGCTTAACATACAGACTGAGAAATCAAGAGACAGTCACTCAGACAGGTGCACAGACAGACAGATTCACATACAGACTAGTAGAAGAGTACATGTACAGACAGACAGACAGATTCACGTACAGACTAGTAGAAGAGTACATCTACAGACAGACAGATTCATGTACAGACTAGTAGAAGAGTACATCGACAGACTGACAGACAGATTCACGTACAGACTAGTAGAAGAGTACATCTACAGACAGACAGACAGACAGATTCATGTACAGACTGGTAGAAGGGTACATCTACAGACAGACAGATTCACGTACAGACTAGTAGAAGAGTACATCTACAGACAGACAGACAGATTCATGTACAGACTAGTAGAAGAGTACATCTACAGACAGACAGACAGATTCATGTACAGACTAGTAGAAGAGTACATCTACAGACAGACAGACAGATTCATGTACAGACTAGTAGAAGAGTACATCTACAGACAGACAGACAGATTCATGTACAGACTAGTAGAAGAGTACATCTACAGACAGACAGACAGATATCTGGAACAATCACTCCATAATACAAGCTCTGTACATCTCCAGTGTTGTGTTCAGGGCAATGGAAATGGGTCATTTCAGTTTACTGTTATCAATTCTGGTGATGGATTTTATTGTCAATCACAACTACATTAATTAGTTTATTATGAATTAGGTCGCTGCTGCTGAAAAAAACTATGTGATGTAAGCTTTGAGATAGCTGTGTTTGGGTCATAGATTAAACATCAAGAGTATACATTATCAACATGATCAACAAAGGCTAATGTAACTATCGTTCCGTTACGCAGAGTTACATTTCTTTGTTGTGCCAGGAACTTAAGTTTGTGGGTTTATGTGTAGGTCATTGTGTTTCTGTGTGTTTTAGCGCCATGTTGGTGCTTGTGGGGTTCATCAAAGAGAATAATGTCTGCTACGTCATCAGTTTTCCTCCCAACCAGGCTGGCACACTGACCTAACAGAAGAACCACTCACTCACTCACTCAGTCTCTCACTAACTGAAGTGACTGGCGGGTGAAGATGTTTCAGTGCTCCAAATGAGGGGTAGGGGTGAAACGGTATACCGCGGTATTAGTAGAACTGCAGTATTTTGCCTTCGGTTCGATATACCATAATGCAATCCAAAATTACGGTATTTTCGGTTTTGTACCATCATTTTATTAACATTTTTATACTTTTTCTCAAATGTCTAGAAATTGAATAATTTTGTCAAAATCTGTGCATTTCTTTGCTAGACGGCCAATATTTTCCCAGAAGTAAGTTCTCATATACCGAACCGAACACTATTGAAGACCTTGTACTGCAATATGTACCGTACTGTGGTAAGAGCCGTACCGTTTCACCCTTAACAAGAGGCATATCAGTGTATGTACTGCCAAAAATGATGGAAATATGATCAAATTTGAAATTAATAGCGTATCATGTATGGGAGCATAAAGGCCTGTATGCCACCATGATTTGGACAGTACTTCCCCTCGTGCTTCACTATCAGATATTATGTAAACATCATAAACATACTGTGGTTGAAGAAATTCCCCCTTGCAATGAATTAAGGATTTACGAGGTAACAGTGGAATCCCCATTGCTAAGCAATTCCGCAGTAGTAGAAAATGGCTTGACTCGATTTTGATCGGCTAAGAGTTATCACCACTTGACGATTTTCATGAGTCTTCTTTTGCAGTTAAATCGGAAATGTGTTGTCACATTCGCAAAAAACTGTCAGAAGCATTTTATTTAAAGCAAATGTGTCTACGCCAGGATACTTAGCAAATGAGGTGGTCAGCAATATTAATAGCGAACTTGTAGACTGTGTCATACGAAAATATTGCCAAACAAAGGTACAAGACTGAAATACCATATCAGTTTCATTCCTGTCATTTTTGACAGATGTTGGTTGGTTGTTTTACGCCACACTCAGCAATATTCCAGCTATATAATGGCGGTCTGTAAATAATGGAATCTGGACAAAACAAACCAGTGATCAACATTATGAGCATGAATCTACGGAACTGGGACACAATGACATGTGTCAACCAAGTCAGCAAGCCTGACCACCTCATCCCGTTAGACACCTCTTACGACATGCATGGATGACTGAAGACCAATTCTAACCCAGATCTTCACGGGTTTTGATAGATGTATGATCAGAACATCACTAACTTTTACGCATGTTATTCAGGAAGCAAACAAGGAGACTATATATGCTATCATTGCTATACAAGCTCAGCACAACCAAACGGAAGTTTTTGTGATGATGTGGTGTTATCTAAAATGATGACTAGTTTAATATCTGGTTAGTGTTGATCTGCACTTACTAAACATGATTTAAGAATTACACTTTGCTCTGCCACCATGTATAGTGTTATAAAGTACACCTGAACTATTATAGTTCTAGTATGAGGATGAGGTGGAGGTTTAATTCTATGATTTGAACAGCTAGTTATCAGAGCTCCAGATAAGATTTAGCTCATGTAGGTACTGTACCCACTGTATTTTTTTGGAGTGGGTCTTATGAATGTTGAGTGGGTATTTCATTTTCCGTTACCCACTGCTTTCAAATATGTGCGTATTTCAGTCATTTTACTCACCTAAGTATTATGTGACTGAGTAAGTTTACTAAGCAGGTATGTTCTGCCGTATGTCATACCTAATCAAAACCAACTTAAATATAATGGAAATGATTTCATAAAAAATCACTCATCCTATACTGACAGTACAACACTTGTCCTATACTAACAGTACAACTTGATAGCAATCGATGTCTTTTTCATTACGCAAGCGATTTTTATAAATATATTCCGTACGCATTTGTTTAAAACTTTTTGCGTATCTAACATTTTTCAATGCGTAATTGGAAATTTTCTATGCGTATTTTACCCGGATACGCAGCTTATCTGGGCCTCTAAATGATACCTTGAGGTGGCAGTGCGGTAGTCTAGTGGTTAAAGCGTTCACTCATCACTATATGTAGAGAAGTGTTCCTGATGTGGCCATGAAGTCAGGTAGTGTCGGGGCGGTGGGGTAGTCTAGTGGTTAAAGCGTTCACTCATCACTATATGTTGAGAAGTGTTCCTGATGTGGCCATGAAGTCAGGTAGTGTCGGGGCGGTGGGGTAGTCTAGTGGTTAAAGCGTTCACTCATCACTATATGTTGAGAAGTGTTCCTGATGTGGCCATGAAGTCAGATAGTGTCCCAGTTTGTGCAACACTGGCTAATGGCAACTCACAAACCTGACATGCATGATATCTGCCTTTATTTACAACTAATTCTTGTAAGAATGTTGAGAGCAAGGCCAGCAGGCAGAGTATTCTATAGCA